TACAGACGCGAACGCATGTGTACAGAAACAGGAGCGAATGGGACTGTAGTCCAGTGGTAGGACTGTCCAGTGGACGCTACATACCAGGATTCAAACCCTGGTGATCGCACCTTTTTGTGGAATTTTTCTAGAAATTTTAGGGTACGGCGTGCGTTCGTGGTGGTACGTTGAGAGGCGACGTTCCTCCCCATCTCTTTTTGCGTGTGTACAGACGCGAACGCATGTGTACAGACGCGAACGCGTGTGTGCGGTGTGAGCGTGGAGTGTGTGGGTTGTGTTTGTCAAAGTTGTACCCGATAAAAAAAAAGACAGAAACAGGAGAGAATTCACGAGCTCTTGCCACCCATCAATCAATCTGTAGTCTTCGTTTAGTCAACCGGTAGTCGTCAATAAACGAGATCATCAATCAGTATACTACTGATATGTTGAGTCTTCGTGTCACAAAAAAGAGTCTAATCTTTTGGACTGGTAGGGAAATTTAGTGTATTTTGCTGATGAATTATTTTGTCATTTTGACGAACTGGCAGTGATATATTTAGGATATTTTTGGTCAATTAGTAATGACTAATGAGGCAGTTAGTGCACTGGCCTCCTTTAATTTGTGTCTCCACCCCTGTTTGGATGCACTTCAATCCACCCCAATCCACATGGGGCTTTGGATGCCCATGTATCTTCCTCAGTCCATAACTAAATTCCACACCAAACCACTCCAACACACATGGATTGAGGGAGATGGGCATGCAAACAAGGCTTACATAAGCCATGCCCGTTTGAGATTATTCTGATTTATCGCTCCACATCAGTTCTACATCCCCCCAGGCCCCCCTCTTTTTTCCCCCAATTCTCTGAGTAAGACAAATAGTTTGAGAATTCCTTTAGATGTCTATATCTATTTTGAGTAGTCTTGGTCACGCCGCTGCCTTGAGCTTTGGTCGATTTATTTACCGATGATGTGAAACTCAATGTCAAATTTGGTTTTGATGGATAATTTTGTGGTGACCCTGATTACTGGCATGGAAAGCTATTAAAAAGAATCAAAGCTATCCACATAAACCGGGGAAGGGATGATCACCCATTTAATATTATGGAAATGGTATATTCATCACATGACGTGACTCAGTTTATTAACTGGATATGTTGGATCCACAGTAGAATCAGAAAAGAGTGCATCTCATTTCATCACGTAGTTTCATGTGTATTTTGGTCCTCATAGTTATGGGGCTGCCAGGAGCAATGCTCACTTTTGTTTAGTGACCTAGTAAATTATTATAGAAAGCCACATGAAAGTTGTTTGGATATGAAGAGGAGCATATCACTGCGCTTTTATGTCAATTAATATTTATTTTGAGGGTATTATACAAATCACCCCATGTGCTATGATTTGAAAATATACAATTATATGTACCATTGGCACACCAAAAGAATTCTAGTTAAGCTATTGTGGAACAAAAACAAGCTGTTGGTGGCTCTGACATAGCTTGTCCCGATTGAAGCTTGGTATGTCAAGATAGACCACCATGCTTATTGTCCTACAGTGTATTTGCTCCAACAGTATAACTCTATTATGTTTCAGTTCTTTATTGAGTTTATTCTGATCCATTGTTATTGAATTTCTATGTGGCAGAGAAGTTACCATTGTGGAGAAGTCAGGCTCTACTTCATTTGGGCCTTATGCTTGTGCAGATCTGTAAGCGATAGCAGTAGGAGACATGAAATCCGGTTCAGTGTTTGAGTTCTTAGTTTATGAAATCCGGTTCAGTATTTGAGTTCTTAGTTTATGAAATCCGGTTCAGTGTTTACAAATGTCTGATCTCTCTCTCTCTTCCTCACGCCGACTGATATAGTCTTTACAGAGGCTCAGCCTCGTCACGCATGCAAGCGCCGAAGAGTTCAAGCCCATTGCTCGCCGAATACTCGCGGGTTGGGCTTCGTGGGCCTTCTTCCTCTGGGCTGGTTCCCGGGTGCTCCATCTTGCTCTTGGGCCGTGTTACTACGGTGGCTAACATCCCCTCCCCCTTGGAACACTGCTTGCCCCCAAGCAGTGGCGCGTGGATACTCCTGGCGAATAGCTTCAAAGTCTTCCCAGGTAGCCAATGCCGACGGCAGATTGTTCCATTTGACAAGTACCTGAGGTATAGTAGAAGAACCACGGGCGACCATACGAGTCTGCAGAACCTATTCTGGAGCCAAGTGGATGGCAAAGTCAGACGGTAGGGTGGGGATTACCTGATGATGGGCACCAACAGCCTTCTTCAGTTGTGAAACATGAAAAACCAGATGAATTGCCGAGTGAGCAGGCAAGTCCAGCTTATAAGCCACTGACCCGACACGAGCCAGAATCCGGAATGGTCCGAAGAAGCGGAAAGCAAGTTTCTGATGGGAGCGAGGTGCTAGGGAAGTTTGGACATACGGCTGCAGCTTGAGGTAGACGAGGTCATCCACTGCAAAATTGCGCTCTGATCTATGTTGATCAGACTGTTTCTTCATCCGTTGCTTGGCCCGGTTGAGGTGATGTTGGAGAAGCTGGTCCATCCACTATCGGTCTGAAGCCCAGACAATGACTTCCGGATGAGAGACAGCAGAAGTGTCAATAGCCAGGAAACGCGAAGGATATCCATATAGCGCCTCAAATGGTGAGTGACCGATGGCCGAATGGAAACAGGAATTATACCAAAATTCTGCAGATGGCAACCACTGACGCCATTTGTTGGGGCAAGCATGGACAAAGCACCTCAAATAGGTTTCTAGGCACTGGTTAAGCCGCTCTGTCTGACCATCGGATTGGGGTGGTAGGCGGTGCTGCGACAGAGGGACACATCCGCCAGCTTGAACAGCTCAGACCAGAAGTGACTTGTAGATATGCGGTCACGATCCGAAATGATAGAGCTCAGAAGGCCATGTAATCGATAAACATGCTGAAAGAATGACTTAGCAACTGTGACAGCCGTAAAAGGGTGACGGAGGGGAATGAAATGGCCACACTTGGTCAGGAGATCGACTATGACCAGCACACAGTTGAAGGTTTGGGACAATGGAAGGCCCTCGATGAAATCCATCGATATCACTTGCCACGCCGAATCAGGAACCGGCAAGGGCTGCAAGAGGCCTAGAGATTTGGATCTGTCATACTTGGAATGCTGACAGACGGCACAGGACTGCACAAAATGCTTGACTGCAGTTTTCATACCTCTCCATGCAAAGCATTACTTGAGCCGCATATATGTGACTGGTATGCTAGAATGGCCGCCCCAGGAGCTAGAGTGAAATTGGGAGATAAGCTGCTGTTGGAATGCCGGGTCATTGCCAATCCAGACTCGGCCCTTATACCGGAGCAAGCCAGACTGAAGGGAATAATATGGTATAGCCGCTGAGTCAACCGACAACTTGGTCAACAAGGTAGTAGCGAAAGAGTCCTCTCGATAACTGGCAAGCACTGCAGATATCCAGGAGGGAACCAAAGAGGTGACTACCGCACACACAGCTGGAGGGGAGGGATGGCGAGACAATGCATTAGCTGCTCGGTTATCAGAACCTGAGCGGTAGACAATGCGGTATTGCAGGCCCAGCAGTTTGGAGAAAACCCTTTTTTGCCAGTGAGTATGCAACCTCTGATCAGTGAGCTGTGTCAGGCTTTTCTGATCGGTAAGAATCACAAACTCCTGAAACTGTAAGTAAGGACGCCACAGTTGAACAGCAAGCAAGATCGCCATGAATTCTTTTTCATATGTTGATAAGCCACGTGACTTGGAGCCCAATGCTTTACTGAGGAAGGCCAGGGGGTGACCGTCCTGCATGAGAACCGCACCGACACCCGACTTCGATGCATCAGTTTCAATTGAGAAAGGCTTGGCGAAATTGGGAAGAGCCAGCATCGGAGCATGACAGAGGGCAGTTTTCAATGTCTGAAAGGCAGAGTCATGATCAGGAGTCCAAATGAACAAGGCATGCTTCTTCAGGAGATTGGTTGGAGGTTTTGAAATGATGCCAAAGTGGCAAACAAAGCGCCGGTAATAACCGACAAGCCCCAGAAAGGAACGGGGTTCTTTGACTGAACCGGGAGTTGGCCAAGAGGCAATAGACTCCAGCTTGGAAGGATCAGTACCCACACCGGCCTGACTGATGACATGGCCGAGATAAGAAAGCTTGGTCTGGGCGAAGGAGCATTTGGACATTTTTAGCTTCCATTGATCCTTAGACAACAGCTCAAACACAGTTCGCAAATGCATGAGGTGCTCCTCCCATGTTCTGCTATAGACCAGGATATCATCAAAGAAGACCAAGACGAACTTCCTGAGACAGGGAGCAAGTGTTGTATTCATGGCATCTTGGAAGGTACCCGGGGCTCCTGTGAGTCCGAAGGACATAACCCTAAATTCAAATTGACCAAAGTGTGTTTGGAAGGTGGTTTTGAATTCGTCACCCGATTTCATGCGGATTTGGTGAAAGCCGGACTGTAAATCCAATGTTGTGAAATAAGCTGCCCCGGACAACTCATCCAGCAATTCTTCGATGATAGGAACAGGATATTTGCCTTTGATTGTAATTGCATTCAGTTGACGGTAATCGACGCAAAACTCCAGGACTGATCCTTTTTCTTCACTAAGATAACCGGAGAGGCAAAAGAACTGGCACTCTTCTAAATGATTCCTTGCTGAAGCATTTCATTAACTTGCCGCTCAATTTCTGTTTTCAGAAGAGGTGCATAGCGGTAAGGCCGCACAAAGACTGGGTGTGCCCCTGAGATCAATGGAATGGAGTGGTCACAGTGCCGGCTGGGAGGCAACCCTGAAACTGGCTCAAATAGATGGGCATATTCATCCAGCAATGCTGAGACAGCCGGATGCATCGATGAGACGGACTGTGAAGACTCAGGAGGCTGTACCAAACAAAGTTGAATGACAGAGCCCACCGGAAGATCTGTAGTGTCCCCAATCAATATAGCAGTAGCTCCCTCGTAAGGAATGGATATCCATTTTTGAGCCCAGTGTACTTGCATTGGGCTAAAACTGGCCAGACAATCAAGACCAAGGATCATATCATAAGATGAAAGAGGCAACAACTTAAGATCAGTTGAAAAGGAGCAGCCCTGCACTGACCAACGAGCACTGGGTAAAAAGGATGTGCACTGTAAAATGGCCCCATTAGCTACTTGCACTTGAACTGGGGACGGAAGTTCCTTGATGCCGGTGAGCGACTGAGCCAATGTAGAATTCAAGAAGGTATGAGATGAACCGGAATCCACCAAAATAGACAGAGGGTGACCTTGGATGTGTCCAGACAAGCTAAATGTCTTAGGGGAAGCTGAGCCCACTGCCGCTGCCACCGAGAGGTGCATCATGATCTGATCGTCAGGTGATGAATCATCAGAGCACTCAGCTGCATTAGACTCCGGAAATATATCCATCAATTCTTGCACCAAATGCAATTGCACCATGTCTGAACATTTGTGTTCACGGCTCCACTTTGTGCCACACTGGACGCACAGACCCTGGGCATGGCGAGAGGCTCGTAAGGCTTTGAACTTGTCTTCCGCCGAGGTTGGCAGAGCTTGGGGCAGGCGCTTACTCTCGCCATTAGCAAGCTTCGGTGGCGGTGGAGGCAGCGCCACGGCACTAGGCCACGCCGGCTTATATGCAGGGGATATATCAAAACGCCGAATAGGCTTCTTGTGGAGTCCCAGCGCCTCTTCCTGTAATTGAGCAAGAACACAAGCAGTATCCAAAGTAGATGGACGTTGAACCAGAAGAACAGCTTTGATTTCATCATGCAAGCCATCAAGAAAACGTTGAGTATAGTAGAGTGGGTCTGGGTGTTTGGTATAGGCTTTCAGATCATCTACAAAAGCAACAAACTGATCGATGTATTCATTGACAGAGCCGGTTTGCCGAATCTGGAACAAGCGACGAAGCAGGAGCTCGTGCTCATCCCTGGCAAAGCGCAAAAGCAATTGGGAACAGAATTCAGACCATGAGATTGTCGCAAGCTGATCCTCAACAGAAGATAGCCAACGTTTGGCTGCACCATGAAAGTGCATAGTGGTAGCCTGCACCCAAACCACGGACTCAACACGATAGAGTTCAAAGTAATGAATAGCTTGCTTGATCCACAGCGTAGGATGATCCCCCTCGAACCTAGGGAAATCAAACTTGGGAAGCTTGCCGGTATGGCCGCCCCCAGAACCCCCCCCTGATAGCTGGACTCGTAATAACCTCCTAGGTGTGGCTGAGGTGGGCGTGGTGGTGATGGGCGGGGAGGAGGACTTGGTAACGGATGCGGTGAAAAAGGAGGGCAAGGAAACATACCCTTGCCGGGAGGTGGAATCAGAGTGGTAACCACTCTGAATGCACCTTCCCGGTTCATGATGTCGACGTGGTGCCCGCTAGGCCAAGGGGCTGCGGATCCCACAGACGGGCGCGGGGCAGCCAGAAAGTCACCGAAGCCAGCGGATCTGAAGTGCGGAGTAACGACGGGTTTGGCGTCGCGGAGCGAGGCGCAGGGCGACGTAGGAGCCGAGGCGAGGCAGACTTGGTGGCGGGCGCTGTCGCGATCACCCAGGGAGTCGCGGACGGGCCGTCCACCATAGAGCGTTCCATGTACTTGGAGATCTTCCCCACTTCCAGCTTCAGAGTTGCGAGCTTGTTGACTTCGAGGCGAAGGTCGTCGATGACGCCGTCGACCCCCGGGCGCCATTCGTCGAACACCTTGGCTGCAGACTCCAAGGCATCCAGACAGGTGGAAGAAGATGTCGCAGTTGAATCGAGCTTCCGCTCCAGACCATCGAATCGCTTCTCCTGGGCGGCGAAACGCTTATCGAGCTCGGCCAGTAGGGCCTTCTGGTCAGGACCCATGACACCCCGGAGGCGTTGAAGACGGGTGTAGTGCTCGTGGGTGGGAATGAGGGCAGGATCCTGATCGGCGGAACACACCACAAATTGCGACTTCGGGACTGGAATTACGGAATCCCCAAAGGAAACTGCAGCTCACAGCTCCGATTCAGGGTTAGACCAACCAAATCCGGTGAAGTGCGAGCAATCGATGGAGAAAGTGCGCCGAACAACCGACTGGGTGCTGAGAATCGGTGTCTCTGATACCATTTGTGAACGATAACAGTAGGAGATGGGAAGAACTGGGAAGAAGAAATCGGAGGAAGAAGAAGGAACAAGAGATAGCGCGGAAGAGTTCTTAGTTTAGGAAATCCGGTTCAGTGTTTACAAATGTCTGATCTCTCTCTCTTCCTCACGCCGACTGATATAGTCTTTACAGAGGCTCAGCCTCGTCACGCATGCAAGCGCCGAAGAGTTCAAGCCCATTGCTCGCCGAATACTCGCAGGTTGGGATTCGTGGGCCTTCTTCCTCTGGGCCGGTTCTCGGGTGCTCCATCTTGCTCTTGGGCCGTGTTACTACGGTGGTTGACAAGATCTCCTGGACAGCCTGCTTCATGAAATCATTGTTCTCATCAACTCATTCCAGGACTTCCTTGCTTTTACTGGTACCTGCCAGTCTTGGCGTGCAGCAGTCTCTTCCTTCCCGTCTGTGTATGCTTTCAACTTCCCACCTCTCCACCTTGAACCAGATGGTCCTTACGTCCCTCCACATAGCAGACGTATCAAGCCCCTCAGTTTGTCTAATTGCAAATGGAAGCTCAGTGACCTTACCAAGAAAAACTTATCCCTTAAACATTCAATGCCTGAAAACACCACTCCAAATGAAATGAACTATCTGGGCTGCTCACATGGGTATCTTATCTTTACGTATGAGGAGCACTGCCTCCTTGTCGATGCATACACTGGTGCCAAGTTGATGCCCCCCCAAACTCCCATGCAACAACAATCTTGGTTACTGGTCTGGCATTGGCATCCTTTCGGCTCCATTAAGTTCATCCAACTCGCGCCGCCTCCTTTTCTCAAGGGTCTTCATGTTTGAGTGGCAGGTTGGAACAAACTCCTGGTCAGAGCATCCTCTTCATCTTGACCATGAATGCATCTATCAGGTTGTGTCCTTCAAAGGTCATATATCCTTGTCATTGATGCTCTTATGAGGCTTCACACTATCCAACTAACACCTCAGTTCAGCATGAAAGAAGTAGCAGTTACGTGGGGGTCCCTGTGGAAGCTGCCTCTTACCCCATGGTTGGTGGTCTGTTGTCACATGCTTCTCATGGTTGATCTCGCAATTGCTTCTATTCCCTCACCTGGCAGCTTGCTTAGCTTTGCCGTGACATTAGATTTTTTGAGGTCTTTTGCCTTGACTTCTCAGTGAAGCCAGCCAAGTGGGTACAGATGGAGAAGTTGGAAAACCATGCGCTGTTTCTTAGCCTGGACAGGAGGAACCCCACATTTTCTTGCGTGAACCCGGAGAGATGGGGAGGAAAGAGTAACTGTGTTTACGTTGCCAGGCTATGTGATGATGCTGATCCTAAAGAGACTTGGACCGCTCTGGATGTTGGTCAGTCATCAGTGCCCCACCACAGCATAGTTGAGACCGTGATGTATGGTCTTGCATTCCCACCGGACTACAGTCAGATCGGTAGCCTCTGGCTGTTCCCGAGCCTGGTTTATGGCGACAGCCAGTGATTGGCCTTGCAGGGTTTTGGCTAGTTTTGCACAGGCAATGGAGATTGGTGTTTTCTTAGTTTCAGTTAGCAAGGTCGATGTGACTCAAACAGTTTCCTAAGTTGGACCAGTCTTATGTGTTCAGAATGCTTTTGATGTGTATTGGGCATGCCTGCTTGTAATCTGTTGAAGAACTGAACATCAGAATTGCGTTTGCATTCGGCATTTCAAACCCTGGTACCTGTGCACTTCTAAATCTACTGGTTTCTAGCTGATGGTTTTCGGGTTTTGTTACCATCTGCAGTTGCCATTCTGCTTATTATTACTAGAGCAGGAGAAATTGGAAAACGAATTACAAAAAGCTTGTACCGAGTTGTTAGCGACGTCTTTGTCATCTCAGCGCTTCCATGCATTTTCCCTTTATTATTTCAGTTTTCTGCTTTAAGCATGTGCACCATATGTATTCCTTCACTGTTTAATGTGTATTGGGCATGCCTGCTTGTAATCTACCAGCTGTGCACTTCTAAATCTAGATTGAAAAACGATTTACAGAAAAGTTTGTACCGAGTTACCAACGGCCCTGTCATTATCCCTTTATTTCAGTTTTCTGCTTTAAGCATGTGCGTGTGCCTTATGTATTCCTTCATTGTTTGGCCGTGTATTTTCTAAAATATTCAGTACAAGTTGGAGCATTATACTATTGGGTTTGTCATTATGGTAATCAGCTCAAGTTTTTTGTCTACAACATGTCGGCTGGGGGGGAAAAATGGCAGCTGGAGTAGTACTGTATCTTTATCTTTGCTTGCGAGTTTGTAAGATTTTGCAAACTTGTTTTTGCCGGTACAGATTCAGGACACACAATCGTCAATTCATGATCACGTACCAAACTTAGAGCATCTCCAACAGACTAGGTAAATCGTTTTATAGATGTAAACATAGCTATTATCAGGGAAAAATGTTCTCCAACAGACTCTACCTGGCTCTCCAAATTGGATAGCTGGCTATCCCTGAACTTCCACTATCCAAACATGGATAGGCTGCACCGCTCGTCATTCGGCATCCGCGCGCGCCAGCGAAGCCTTCCCGCGCGCTACCCCTTCTTCCCGCGCGAACTCGACCACGCCATACGCGTCTTCAGTTTCCTCTGCCACGGCCCTTGCGCCCGTTCCCCAACCAAGCACGCACCTTCAGCTTCCTCCGCCATGTCCCTGCCGCCGCGACCACGTGGTCCGGCACATGTGCGCGGGTACGGCAACCTGGCCGCCTGGGCATCTTCTCCGGTGGCCCAGTTCGCCGGCGGTTCCATGGCCCAAGGAAGCCAGGACTCTGTTGGTTGCGAGGGCCATGTGGATCTAGGATGGTCGGAGAACAGAGATGTTTGATTGATGCGGCGTCGAGTGATTCCTCCCACTGACTTCAATGGCCAGCCATCGCAGGCCCCCTCCCCAAGCGTGAGCCAGCAGCCACAGTTCTCCTTCCCAGATGTAGCACAGGGCGTCGTCGAGGAATTATCTGGTGAGGCCTTGGTCATTTTATTCCATTTGTCAGTAATGTTCCTAGCAGTGGATGAATTTTGCTCCTCTGTTGAATGGAATGTCAGGATTGGTTTCTATATTTTGCTCATCTATTGTTTGTGCAAACTGTGATTATTGTAGCAAACTGAGATTATTGATTGTGCAAACTGCAGTGTACTTATATGAAGCAAACTGAGAGATTTTTTAAGTAAAATTCTTGCTGCTTTGCAGCTATTCCATCCTCCTGATAGCAATGGGCAATGACAGATTTTTTTAAGTAAGATTCTTCCTGCTTTGCAGCTAGTCCATCCTCCTGATAGCAATGGCAATGGCAGATTTTTTTTTTAAAAAAAATAATATTCCTGTTGCTTTGCAACTATTCCATCCTCCTGATTAATCTTTGGAAATAAATCTTCTATGGTTATATGCATTGACCTATAGCATGGAAAGTTCAGGTCAGTTCAGTAACTTACTGAGCAGCAGTGCGAGTCTATATCTGACATTTGTGTTATCTGATTCATTGTGTTCTGAAATGTTATAGGAGTCTTGGCACTACTCTGCAGCAGTAGAAAGCTCTATACTTGTGACAGTTAGTTGATAGTGAATGCATAGTACATCGCCAACCATAGAATTTTAAAAACCAAATGATTAATCTTTGTTATTTGCTATCACAGGTGCCTTGGATTCAGGGGATATTTCACTGGCCTCAGATGTCTTTGGTCTTCCTGGTCAGTTTGATAATCAACATCCTGCTCACGAAGTAGTAGCACAAGATGAGGTTGAAGCAATATGGAAAGGAATTCCAAAAAGAACAAAAAATTTCACAATTGATGAGGATGAACAACTTGTCAAATCGTGGCTAAACATGAGTTTGGATCCGGTGAAAGGTGTGGACCAATCACGTACCACATATTGGAAACGAATACATGCACATTTCCATGCCCACAAGAATTTCTCGTCTGATCGCTCGCAAGGCTCTCTGATGAACCGTTGGTCTGGTATACAGCACGATGTGAACCCCAAATGCTCGTTCAACGTTCTTCCTACAAGCTTCTTATGCCTCGGCAAAATATTTCATCTTGTTCCCTTGTGGCTCTGGTATGGTCTTCACGAACGTGGCCCAAGATGGATATATGCCATCTGCGAGGTAATAACCTATTGTATAATCATTCACATTGATGCTGTAATTAACTTGTGGACTGTCACCTTCAGCAAGCCTTACAAATATAGGAGATTTTCGAAGAACATTGATATTATTGTGCGAGCCTGGCATCCCAAAGAATGCATGCCAAATCCAAAGATCTTTAGAGGCAACTGCTTCTAGTATAATTGTAGGTTCCTTTTTATGCCCTCAGTACATACCATGCCATCAAACAGGGCAATTTTTTCAAGTCCAATGCATACAATCTATGGAACCAAGCATTCTCGGGAAACCTCTGCTCTCACCAATTGCGAGTAATCTAGCCGTATCCTGTTCATTAGGCAATCTCATGTACTCAGGTCCAAATACTTGAACAACAGTTATGACGAACATTCTCAAACTTTTTAGAGCGGTACTCTCGCCAATACGAACATAGTCATCCGCAGCATCAGCCGCTACACCATAAGCTATCATCCGAAATGCTGCCACCACCTTTTGCAAACAAGATAGTCCTAGGGTACCGGTTGCATTCCTCTTTTGCACAAAGTAGTCATCATGCTCCTCAACAGCATTTATTATACGAACAAACACATGACGCCTCATTCGAAATCTATGGCACAAGACTAATTAATTAGCCACACTTGCACGTATGTACAAAAGAAATTTCATACTATGAGGAGAAAGTACAAACCTCCACCTAATAGTTCGCCCCATACGTAGGATCATCCGAGAAATAGTCTTGAAAAAGTCTAGAGTGCCCGGACTGCCTATCACGATTCAATACGCGATGTCCGTCAATAGAACCTCGTCGATATGGTTGCTTGTCATTAGCCTCTGCTACTATGTGTGCAGCAACAACATATAAATCATCCTCGTCGTCCGAAGATGATGACTCAAAAACTTCATTAAACACTGTATCATAGAATTCATCTTCAGAATCCATCGTTGACACACCTTGAGCTGTAGGGTAGAAGGACAAATTCTCTAATCAACCGAGATAATTATCTGTGTCAATTTACAAAATTATGGCCAAATTAAGCAAACCTCCTACACGGCTAGGGCAGCCACCAGCAGGCTGCCGTGATGCCCTTCAAGATGTGCGGCCGGCAATGGCCGCCCCCTGCGTGCCCTGATATCGGGCGACTCTGCCCCTTGTGGCCTGGTGGACGTGAGCGTTGATGATGCCTGGGCAGCCGGCAACTAGCGAACAGGATCGGGATGGAGTTCCAGGCGGCCGCCCCCTGCTGCGGAACTTGAGTTCGAGGCGGTGCCTGCGATGATCCGAAAAGAGAGCGGACGGAATCGGGATGGATAGGAAGAGGAAAAATCCAGTGGCGTGGCAAGTTTAAATATAGAGAGTCTCAATTTAGATAGTCAGTTGGAGTAGTCTATTTTTTTTAAGGAGGGATTCATTTTACAAAAATACAAAAATCACTAAATTTATATATTTATTTTGGCTAATCTGTTGGAGATGCTCTTACCTCTTAGGGCAGTTTGTGACGATACCGTCGAAGTTTTCTCTGGTTTTTATTTTATTTTTTACAGCGCGGTTCAAATTCGAACTGACATGCCCCATAGGCCCGTTTATCCTTGTCTTTCTCGTTCTCCCTCTTGTTTTTTGAATCTAAAACTAAAGTTCGAATTCAAACTAGATCCTATCCTGTACCAAACAAGGCCGTGTTTAGTTGGCCAGAATTTGCGCCGCCGGAATACTGTAGCAACAGTGCCGTTTTGTTTTTATTTGGTAATAATTGTCCAATCGTTGACTAATTAGGCTCAAAACGTTTGTATCGTAAAGTACAATCAAACTGTGTAATTAGTTTTTGATTTCGTCAACATTTAATACTCCATGCATGTGTCCAAAGATTTAATGTGATATGATGTGATAAAGAATCTTACACTGTGCAAATTTTGGAGATGCAAAATTGGTGCAACTAAACCAGGCCCAAGTTGAAACGGAAATCAGGAACAGAGTTTGAGGAGCAGGGCAGAGCAGGCCCAGAGAGAAGCGGCGGTGGCGGCGGCTTCTGCGTCCGCTTCCGAGGGAATCGGCTCCCAACGACTTTTGGCTGGCGTCCCGAGGGAGTGGGATGGGATGGGATGGACGCAGCAGAAGCGGTCAGAACTCAGAACTGGGCTGCTGTGCCTGTGTGCGAGTGTGAGCCTGTCTCCAGAGAGAGAGAGAGAGAGAGAGAGAGACTAGGGTTCGGACACCGGCAGCGGCTAACCGGCCGACAATCCCCTCCGCCGACGCCGCTCCGGGCACCCTCGCTCCCTTTTTCCGCGAGGTGGGGTGGGGCCCAAGCAGCGGCGACCACACCCCCTTCCCCTGACCGCGGCCTCCCCTCCCGTACGTGCTCCCGCCGCCGCACCGGTGGCGACAAGGGGCCCCGACTGTGCGAGGATTTCCAGCGCGAGGTACCTGCCCTGTTGCCCACCCCTCCTCCGTCTGGTGATGCCGTGATGGAAATGAATGGATCCGTTAATCCGTGCATGGCGCGCGGCCCCGTTGCCTGCGCCGCGGGGCTGCTTCGCTCAGCAGTGGCCGCCGCCATTTCTGCGGCTCTGACTGAGCGCTCGGCGTCCATGGACCTTTGGGGATTGCTTGCGTGCTCGTCGTGCTCGTGTGGAATTCGTGCTAGATAGAGGATGTAGCGAGTCCGGTGAGGTAGGTTGTGATGTGTCGCGAAATCGATTTGTTGTTTTAGGAATTCTCCCTTCTGCACTAGCTTTTGCAGTCAGCCCCTTATGCGAGTGAAGTGGAAAACAGACAAGTTGTGATTCTCAAGCTTGATGCCAGTTAATATCGGATCGTCATTTTGGGTATCGGGTCATATGTTCACATCTTGGAAATTGAAGTATCTTCAGACTTTTTGATACTCTATTTATGTTGCATGTCTTTTTGACACCAAAAGAATGTCGCGCAACTGTCCTTAAGTACTGAAAGTGCATACATTTCCATTTTTCTAAAGTTTTGGTGTTTTGCGGTCATATCTTTGATTTCAAGGTACAAGAGTTATTTCTACTAATATAGTTAAAAGCTAGACATCAACATGTACATTGTCTTCAGTTTCAACTTTCAATCAATTGCACAACTGGAACAAGTGTCCGCCAACTCAATTGTCTTTCAGAAGCATAGTGAATATATTACTCAATTGCCTTTCAGAAACATAGTGAATATGTTGGTGACATCGTGAAAACTCTAGGTAACACATCAAATTAAAAAAAAAAGTATTGGGAAAAAAAATGAGAACACACTTTACTTCAAGTTTCACATGTATTTTTGACAGTTTAAAATTTTGGTTCTTGTGGCTGTTAAAGTTTTTGAATAGTTGGCTGGCAGCATCATTGGTTCCACAAATTAGTTTAGAGCTTTGCAACCATTTTTATTAGTCAACTTAATTTCCCTGATATTGTTTTATCTACCTCGTAGTTTAGTCTGGTGGATTTCTGATTGTAGGCTTATGTTGTGCAGTGAGTGAGCCAACACTTATCGGCACAAGAATGGATGGGAATGCTGAGCCAATCCAATTCTCATGGGGCAAGCGTCGAGCAACAGGTGGTGTCAAGATGGATATACAGTTCTATGGGTCCTTCACATTGGACAATGTGAAGTATTCATTGTATGACTGTGTCTATCTATTTAAGCATGGTGAAACTGAACCATACATTGGAAAAATAGTGAAGATTTGGGAGCAAAATAATGCTAAAAAAGTAAAAATTCTTTGGTTTTTCCACCCTGACGAGATTCAGAATTATTTAAGAGGCCCTGTGATGGGAAAGGAGATTTTTCTTGCTTGTGGTGAAGGTACTGGGCTTGCAGATATCAACCCACTGGTATGTCTCTCATAACTTCACTCATGTTCTGTCTTGTTTTTCTTTATCATCATCCTTAAACTTGTGTATTCTGACATAATACTCCCAGGCGTGTTGTATATCTGGGTTCTTCTTGTGCAGCTCTCGTGCGTATTTGATTAATAAAAACGTGTGAACAATTTGCATAGATCAATTGCAATACTTTATATTTTTGAAAATAAGTAGGTAACAGCCAAGCCTGATTGAGGCACCAAGGTTTGTCACACTTCACATGCTCATTTTTTAAAGCCTGAGAAGAGCTAGCTTGGTTTGCATAGCAATAATATAATCATTCTAGTTGGAGGTGAACAGTTAAAGTTAACATTTGCTGAGCTATTTATGAGATATGTAAATGTTAAATCTGTCGTCTTTCCATTTTTGGATTTCTGTTCCTATTAAAATATTATAATGATTATATGTTTATTTCTCAATTAGGAAGCTGTTGCTGGAAAATGCACTGTTATATGTATTTCAAAGGACGAGAGGAATCGTCAACCTTCTCCTCAGGAACTAGACATTGCTGATTATATCTTCTATAGGTTCTTTGATGTTAAAAGTTTAACACTTTCTGATCAATTGCCTGATAAAATTGCTACATGGCAAGGTCAGCAGAGGATCTATACTTGATTTGTGCCCTCCAATTTTATCTGGTAATGTTTTCAATTGAATTGTATACTAACTATTGTCCTTCTGGTGCAGTTGATGTTCTGCTGAATCCAAAAGATGAGCTAGTCATATCCAGTCCTGGTACAAATGTTCCGTTGAATCCAAATGTGGATGAGTGTATGGTTGCCGCAGTACCTGCACCCCCTTCAGCAGTTAAAACGGAGGATGGAAGTCAGGCTGCTGCACTTCCCCTTCCGCAGCCAGCATTTAAGGAGGTGGATGAAAATCCGCCTGCCACAGTTCCCCTTTCCCAATCAGAGGTCAGGGAGGAACAGAAACCAACCATTGCGATTCCCCTTTCCCAGCCTGTGGTCAAGAAAGAGGATAAGAAATCAGTTGCTGCCATTCCCCTTTCCCGTTCAGCAGTCAAGGAGGATGAGAAACCAGTTGCTTCGATTGCCCCTCCACGGTCTGCAGTTATGGAGAACATTCCCAAACATACACAGTTACAGGATGCTCACACTGGGGAGAGGCCACCAAAAAAGTTGAAATTATCCCAAGTAACTACAGAGCAGGACATAGCCCCAGAGACTGCTGAACAAAGACCTTTGGAGCTACCGCCAAAGAATATCGTAAATTCTCTGGACTTACTTTTCCTATATCCAACATGCTACTTCTGCTCTTACGTTTCATTACAGGAATGCAAGTGTGCTCCTTTTGTACTCAATGTTACAGCCTTTGGAGAGGAGACATAACTGCATCTTTCTAAATTGCCCCATACCAAGTTTTGTACATGCTTACACTTTTCCATACCATGTCTCTCTATTTATTGGTCTGAGAGGTGGAATGAGACATAACAATGCAGTTAATGAGCACAGCACAAGTTCAGTAGGTCATATGGTCATCTTGTGCTGCTTTCTGTTGATTCATTATTTGCTAACGGCCGTAATCTTTATGAACTTTGAACTGCCAACCTGGGTGAAGTCTTATCCCATACCTACTGCACACAAGCAATATTCTTCCTGTTCATGGATCATTTATCTGAACATTCTTTCTGCTTTTGCTATATATTTTTGAATTGCTATTTACAGAGTCTTCTACTGATTTTCCATGTTTCCTTTTTGCTAACACATTATTTATTCCATTTAACAGGACAGAAGCAAATGGTTTAAAATTGTGAGTGACCTTTCCTTGCTATTGTCTCTTGTGCATTTGTTGTTGTATTGAAGCATGCCATACCCATGCTTGATTATTCATTAATCATTATTACTCAAAATTACCACAAACTGATTAATATCTTGTTTGGCCTTGGATTTTTTATGATGATCTTTTTTATGGAATTTCAGGAATGGGATGACAGACTAAAGATGGCTGATGATAAGGGGACTCTTGTCTATATTCAAAATCTTGATATTCGGTTTGGACCTGCTGACATAGAGGTAGCAAGTAGCATCCTGTCTTTTTGGTTGTCATAAAGCCCAAGCTACTCCTTTGTATCCCTGGCCTAGTATTTTTCAAGTATATGTTAACATCTATTGCTGTCTGTTCGGTTGCAATTCTACTTCTGCCCACGTAACTTATGATTGTCTCATACAGTTTCTCTTTCAACAGTACATTCATTCCTTTTAATCTCAATGTTCTTACTCTGTTTGTTTTGGGCTTTGTTATTACCATGTTTGCAGGAGCTGGTTAAGTAAAAGCATTACAGCTAAGTTGCACTCTGAAGCCCATTAACCACCCCCCACTTATGATGATCCAAACAATGGTGAGTTGTTCACTAATTAAAGGAAAAATGCTATATATCTGTTGAATGAGATACAGTGAGGGTGGGGACCGTGCTTTTTTCTGTGGGGGAGGGGGGTGGGGGGAAGGTGACTAGCCCAGCGGCAATGGTGGAAGACCACCGATTGGGCGGGGCTGTATGCTGTGATGGCGTACCATCAAAGTGGTGGTTAGCAAGGCAGTGGGCGGCGAGCATGGATCTGGTCTGGTGAGGGTGGGGCAGGGCCATCTCACTGTAGATAGAGAGGAGGCCGATGCAGGCAGGAGATGCGTAACAATACGAAAGGAGGGAGGGACCATGGCCAGTTGTGGAGGTGTTCACTGGCAAGCCATTCTGGTACCAGGGATGGTGATCACAAGGTTGGGGTGGCAATGCTGTGTAAAATGACCTGGTATTATCTAGTTGATGTAGTGAAGGGGGAAGGGAGTGGACATCTGGATCTTTATCCTAGCGTCCAAAGTCTTGTCTGATAGTTGGCCCAGTAACCTGTTGACAGATGCATAAACTATTCCTTAAAGATTTTCCATAAATAGTTACCTATGTCCAGTTGATGGGAGAATGGTATTTTTCTTCTTGCAATTTTACTACAAGTGGTTTTCTTATCTGTAGGCAAAGCATATGCCATATTCAAAACTAAAGATGCTGCTGATGCTGCCATTTTAAAAATCAATTCTGGCTTGGTTGTTGGTGGAAGGTATGTGTTTGTAGTTAATGTAATCTACCTTGTATCTTATTCTGTAACGATTTTTTCTTCAAGTGGTGTTCTGTTTGTTTTGTCAATTCTTGAACTCTCCTGGCAAATCAACTGTTGGAATTTATGAATTAGAACAAAGAGTCTTCTTAGGTGATGCTCTGATACATTGATTCTTCGATCTCGTTTCTAACACAAGCAACATTTTCCTTGAGACCCCTTTCTAACACAAGCAACTGTTGGAATTTATGAATTAGAACAAAGTTTGTCTGGCATGATTTTCTTGGTTGGCTACTGATAATTCTTGCCTAATGTATAACTTGCAGACCTCTTTACTGCAGCAAAGGGTTACTTGAGGTTCCAAAACCTTCAGTGAATCTTATTGGGCACCTCTCCTCACATGTCAAAATTGGTCAAAAGCAGCGTGATTTGCAGGTGGGCGCTTAATGTTTATAAGCTCTGCGATGTTCTGCGTGTCTTTGGCTTGATATTTTACACAACTTCCTTTTCTTTTGCAGAAGAAGGCCGTAGCAACCTCACATTGTTCCCAGCCCAACACGATCGAGTATGACTTGGCCTTAGAATGGATGCTTCTTCGGGAAAGGCAAGACCAAAGTTTCAGAATACTTCACAAGGTAGACACAGTTCTGTTAAAGATTTGTAACCATGCCATTGCCTTGTATCTCGCATTCAGACATTAATTTGTGTTGTTCAATCGGTTTGCAGAAGCACAGAGGTCAACGCGCATGCTTGCAGGGGTCAACGCGCTCTCCAGCAACGACATCAGGGTCGGCACCAACGTCGAGGTCGGCGGCGCGCCATGGAAAGTTCTAGGTCACCGACATCTCACTTCTCAGCAGAAATTTGTGGAAACTGCTTATCAAGTCCATGTACCTTTAGTCTTTGTTGGAATGAAAAAGGATGCTACCTCTGTGTGTCCAAAAAATGTATAGCCTAAGGCACTGCGCAAAACGTATGTCATTGTTATGCAAAACATGCCAGCCAATTTCTCTCGTCTCCTTCCAACAACAGAGTTTCTCCACGTCAAGCCTGGAAAAGGTGCTGCCTTTGTCAGGACGAAAATGCGCAACTATGTCACCGGCAACACAGTTGACTAGTTGAGAAAACCTTTCGAGCTGGAAGTACGGTAATCTCGCCTCAAACCCACATCTTCTGAATCTGACAAGAATTTAGCACCTCTTTTTCTTTTCCTACTCTGTATTTTATCTTCTTCAAAAAAACTGCTAGCACGCGATGTAGCTTTTTCTCTCGCATACCAAAAAATTTGTGTATTATTATATTAAGGAGAAGAGTTTAAAGAAATATACAACATGCTTCTATCGAGCGCCGAAGGAGATCGACCTAACACAGCCGAAGCTGGACCATCCGAGCAAAAGACCTCATGTTTCGATATTACATAAAAGGAAACAACCAGAAACAACCAATATCGACGCAGCTTTGTGGTCTAGGTGGCCTTGCGTCTTCGCGGCTGCCTGGACGGTGCCTTTCCAACGGTCGGGAAGAGCTCGTTCAGCGCCTCGGCTTCAGACGCAGTCAGGTTGCCGTCGAAGAGCCTGTCAAAGGCCTTCAACTCCGAAACGGATGGCGCAGATGGACCCTTGGTGTAGCCTATACGCTGCATGATCAACACCTCACCTCGTTTGGAAGCTGGCACTCTGGAGAGGCTCTGAGCCACCAACCGCCTGCTCCGCCACGACAGTACCGGCTTAGCAGGAGGCTGCTTGGGAGACTCGCGAATCAGCAGAGAGTCCCTCTTACGCATGACATTGTTGATGAAGCTGTCGAGGCGTCGTTTGGAGGAGTCGTCGTTGTCCACAGCCTGGTGGATAATCCCTGGTGGTGAACTGGAAGGGCCATCCACCGTGAGGTCGACCACATGTGTCTTCGGCGAGTCCACTGCCCACTGAATGGGGCGTGGGGGTGGTGTCCGCAGCACATAGGAGGCTACCGCATCCTCCAGCTGGGGGGCCACCACCGCCGGTGCCTCATCCGGAAGTTGGGGGTCGCCGAAGTTGACGGGAAGGCCACGCGACGATCTGACTACCGACGAGCGAGGCTGCGAACTCCTCAACCATCGGGTCTTCTGAGATGCCGCGATCCTGCGTGGCGCCCGGGTACAACGTGAGCATCAACGGGTCGGGTTCAACCATGCCCGTCGCGTTGGTCGGCCCACGTGCCTTGCCTCAGTTCTAGCAGCGACCGAGGTGAAGTCCGATGCCGTTTGGGCGGCCCCTGTCGATCGCCCGTGACTGTTGGTGGCGGCACTCGTTGCCGCAGCGGTGTCGTCCCCCTTTAGTCGGCGCCGACGTCTCCGACGCCTCCGCCGTCTGCGCCCACCGCTGCCGCGCGTGGTCGCACCTATAAAAGGTCCTAATGGCTAGAGGGGGGTGAATAGCCTATTAAAAATTTCTACAACAACACTTAACAAACCGATTAGACAATTATGAGACGAAACAAGTGTTGCGCTAGCCTACAAAAAAAATGCAAGCCACCTACCACAATTCTAGTTTCTATAGTTTCTAACCACACAATGGCTATGTCACTACACTAAGTTAGTGTGCTCCCAAAGGCTAACTAAAGAGCCACACTAACCAAACTAACAAGCTCTCACAACTAGCTACACTAAAGACCTTGATAACTAGTTTGCGGTAATGTAGAGAGAGAGAGAGAGCAAGATGGTTATACCGTCAAGTCGAGGAATGAACCAATCAATCACAAGAATCAATATTAATAAAGACCAATCACCTCGGAATCAAATAATGACACAATGATTTTTATCGAGGTTCACTTGCTTGCCGGCAAGCAAGTCCTCGTTGTGACGATTCACTCACTTGGAGGTTCACGAGCTGATTGGCATCACCCGCCAAACCCACAATAGGGTGCCGCACAACCAACACAAGATGAGGATCACATAAGCCACGAGCAATTTACTAGAGTACCTTTTGGCTCTCCGCCGAGAAAAGGTCAAGAACCCCTCACAATCATCACGATCGGAGCAGAAGACGATCACCAACCTCCACTTGATGATCCTCGCTGCTCCAAGCCATCTGGGTGGCGGCAACCACCAAGAGTAACAAGCGAATCCCGCAGCAAAACACGAACACCAAGTGACTCTAGATACAAACACTCAAGCAATGCACTTGGATTCACTCCCAATCTCACAAAGATGTTGAATCAAAGATGGAGATGAGTGGGAGGGCTTTGGCTAAGCTCACAAGGTTGCTATGTCAATGCAAATGGCCAAGATAGTGAGCTAGAGCCGGCCAAACGGTATTTATAGACACCCCCAAACAATAGAGCCGTTGTCTCAATTATTGGGCTGACTGCGCGTCGACCGGACGCGCAGGTCGTGTGCACCGGACGCACCGACCATGTATACCGGACGCACCGGCCATGTATGCCGGACGCGTCCGGTATGGCGACTGGACGCGTCCGGTCGCTACCTGACCGCCACGTGTCTCATTTTAAATGAAGTAGCCGTTACTGCCACGAGTCCTATGCGACCGGACGCGCTGTTAGAAACGACCGAACGTGGAGTCGCAGCGTCCGGTCGTGTCCAGAGAGCTCCCAGGGTTGACCGGACGCGTCCGGTCACTCCGGACCGGACGTAGGAGACGTAGCGTCTGGTCGAGTCCAGAGAGCTCCCAGAGCCGCTCTGGGCCGACCGGACGCGTCCGATCACACTGGACCGGACGCTCCCAGAGTCCGATCAATTTTAGCGCTGAAACCCGAGACTCGCTAATTCACACCGAACTCGTCCGGTGTGGCGACCGGACGCGTCCGGTCGCTCTCTGCAATTTAGTACCGAGCCACATCACTTTGACCGAACGCGTCCGGTATCCATACCGGACGTGTCCCGTCACTATGTGACCAGCGCGACTAACTCCTTTTCAACTCTATCTTCTTCACCCTTACTCAAATGTGTCAACCACCAAGTGTATCACCTTGTGCACATGTGTTAGCATATTTTCACAAACATTTTCAAGGGTGTTAGCACTCCACTAGATCCTAAATGCAAATGTAATGAGTTAGAGCATCTAGTGGCACTTTGATAACCGCATTTCGATACGAGTTTTACCCCCTTAATAGTACGACTATCGAACCTAAATGTGATCACACCCACTAAGTGTCTTGATCACTGAAACGAAAAGGCTCATACCACTTATATCTTTGCTTTGAGCCTTTTGTTTTTCTTTTACTTCTTTTTCAAGTCCAAGCACTTGATCATCATCATGGCAACACCATCATCATGTCATGATCTTCATTTGCTTTACCACTTAGAGTAGTACCACCTATCTCATAATCACTTTGATAAACTAGGTTAACATTTAGGATTTCATCAATTCACCAAAACCAAATTAGAGCTTTCAACCTAGCACAGCAGCTGCTGCACCCGGCACAGCCCCAGCCGCGCTCGACGTGTCGCCCTGAGTACGCGGCCAGTTGCCCAAGATACGCTCCCAGACAGGGCGTCGTTGCCGGCCTTCTGGGGCACCAACTGTGCCGGAGCCGGAAGGAGGCACCTTCCGCCGCTGCTTACAGTCCCGCGCGAGGTGTCAGAACCCCTTGCATCAGAGGCAGAGTGGAGGCAGCTTGCAGGTTGCCACCCTGTGCGCGGTGGAGAGACAGTTGAAGCACTTCCCGCGTAGATCCGTCGGATAGCGGGTAGGGGGCCGCTGGTTCGCTGATGCAGTGCGGGCGGGGCGTGCCCCTCCGGCACCGCTTAACGACCCCTGCGACAAGACCTCTCGCCAGCCGTCGGCGTCTTGAGCGGAGATGCGCTGACGGGCGGAGCCTCGTCCGCGACGTCCGAGGCGCTGTCGGGCGGGGACACGGCCATCCACGGGCCGAGCAGGCAGGCTGTGCACCAGCTGGGGGCGCGGCCGTGGCCGACGAGTCCTGCGGTTTGCGCCGCCCGTGCTCAACGCCAGCACCAACAGCACTGTTGTGCGCACCTCCTGCGACGTTGGCTGGTCGGGCCCCCTCAGGGGGCGCTTGCCCCGCTCAGCAGCAGCGTTGCCACGAGTGAGCGCGGCTTGGCATGCTCCAACAAAGGCGACGTCCGGAGCTGCGACCCCTGGCGGACTGCGTCGAGGTAGGAGGTTGGGGAGGTGACCGGCGACCTCTCCGCGTCAGAGTCGTCAAGGTCCTCATCCGCCCAACGACGAGCCTTGGGACGCCCCATCGATCCGTCCCCAGGGTGGAAGGGGGAGGCGAGGGGGGACAGAAAGGACGACGGGCTGAGCGCGGAGGGGTGCACAAGGAAGATGTCGAGCCCCGACGCCGGATGAGGCCGCTGTGGCGCGATGTAGCTTAGTCAACCAATCTTTTGCTTTTTATTAGTCTCCGTAGCTACATATGCTATGAATGAAGCAACTAATGATCACTTCTCCATTAACACTTTCAGCTACAGGAACCGTCCCTTTCAAAGGAGACCAAGCAATTTACGTACAAGGATGGCTCCCAGTTCGTATTCATGGACCTCGTACACACTTCAACCACCAAAATAATTAGTGAAAATGCTAAGCAACCTTGCTTTATGTTTCCTGAAATTTTGTCATGCCATCGATTGTTAGAGGTGATCTTTGTATTTAGATAGTTTTCTAAGAATTCTTGTAATGAAAGTATTACATTAAGTTTGTATTTACTACGGAGTATGTTTCTTCTTATTAATGAAAAGAAATGCTACTCCTGCCGGCCTGGCTATTCTTTTTTTTTTGCGAATTACACAAGTACCGATGCAGACACTCAACACGTACGCACACTCACCCATATGAATACACGTACGTAAACCCACCCCTATGAGCACCTCCAAAAGACCCAGTCGACCACATCTCAAGATTGACGAAGTCATCACAGGCACCTCGCTGTCGACGGTAACATCGCCTACCACTGAAAGCACAACACCGTTAAATTCTGGAATAAATCTAGGAAAATACGAGTACCCATGCTAAGTCGAGGACTTGAACCTAGGTAGACAGGTTTCACCATAGGGAATCTAACCAACTGAGTTAGGCTCAGGATTCTGAGTGACCAACCACTTTACCAAGGCACCGCCCTGCCTTTTGGTTTTCAGCAGAATTTGTCCCACTTCAAGTCTTCAACACCCTGAGGCAGATCTTATATCATCTTTTGTACCGTTATACTTGCTTGAAAACCCACTGTGTATTGGATTCTGTAGGAATTGTTGAAGTAATTCAGCATTATTTTGCCTTATTTGTTTTATCAAGGGGAACTCCAAATTGTGATGTAAGAAGTTTGAATAGAGGCAAAGAACTACAGCTTTTGGCAAAAAAAAAAAAAAGAGAGAGAGTCAATTTCAATTTTCTTTTCAGGAAAAAGAAAGTTGATCTTTTTTTGTCTTCCCAGGAAACATGATGTCCGAATGCAAAATAGCCACATTCTGGATTCATGGGCAAATTGTAAACTTACGGTCCTGATATACGTAAACAGTTATGTCAACATTTGTATCTTACAATGCTCTTGTCAATTTCCCTTGCAGACAACATTCGAAGAAAGTCGGTTAAACGAAGCAGATGTCGGTGACAAGCAAAAATGACTGAAAGAAGGAATACTGATTTCGAGCTCCCCATCACTGTGAGGCTGACTGTAACTGATACTGACCCCTGGGGCAAGCGACAGTGCACAAGGTACAGATTTCTCTAATACCAAGTATGCTTTTTGCGATAAGTACCTGCAATTGGTTAACAAAGCGTGTTGCTAACTAAAAGTAATAAGATGCAATCGAGTTGTAAAGAGCACAACATTATGTCGGCCATTTCTTCTGATGGAAGTTGACGTCATCAGAACTGGGATCATATTGTCACTGTATTTTGTAGGAGGAACAAAGCCCTGCAACTGCAACCCTGGAAACTGGAGCTGTTCTCACTGTGCCCTCTTTTGTGAATGCAGGCGATGATTTTCTGGTTGATTCAAGAACAGGGCAGTACATGAACCGAGCATGAAGGATCGAAGAGGATTTTAGATTTGAACTGGTTTTTTGTTCGACCATTTTAGAACCATTCACACCTGTACGAATGCTGCATCTTTTGCCCAGGAATTGTGCTTCATTTTAGCCCCATTCAACGTAGGGTACAACTGACGAAACAATAAGCATCAGCTATTCAGCTCTGTCGATCTCATATTTCAATTCACCTGTTCCAATATCAGATGCTGCCAAATGGGGAATGTGATGCATCAGTCACAGAATGCCTTAGAACTTCTTTTTTTTTTTGAAACTGGAATGCCTTAGAACTAGGTTAACTGTCCGAACAAAACTTTCTCGGTTACGGACTCGGCTCAAACAAACACGTTCTACATATGGAGCAATGTCATTCAATGGACTAGCATCATGGATCAAACAATTGACACCAGGCACAATTCTCTGTTATGTTAGGCGCCCAAATTTCTTTACCACTGATCAGTGACCACAAACATAACTGAACACCAGTCATGCCCGTTTGCCATCTCCTTTATTGCCACTGAAAGAAAAGATGGCAAATTATTACTAAACAAGACCATGTCATGGTACAGCCTAACACAGAAACCACACCGATACAAATTGTTCAAAGACTGCATGCTACAAATAAGATCGTTACGATTATGCACATCTAATTCAAGTGTATATAAGCTAGATCAAGTCACGGTCTCCTCTCATCAAATCTGCATCCACCTTCACATCTCAATATGATGAGAATGGCTCTGGACATCTCCTTGGTTGTCCAGGGGCATGTACTGAGCCATGATAGCACGGATCTCTGAGTCCATATATCTCTGTAGGCACGGGCAATGCAAGAACAGAATTAATTGCCAACCCAGATTTATCGGAAGGTAATGAACATAGAAGTATCAGCAGATACAAGCTGCCTATTTCTTACCCGGATCCTGTACTTGTACACTGCATATCCTGCAATTCCTGCTGCAACAAGACCGAAGAAGACGACCCACAAGAAGCCCCAGCCTGCTTCTGATGCTCCATTTTTGCCTGAGTATAACAAATGCCCAATTAGCATCACTCGAGTGTCAAGCTCATGTCTACATTCAGCATAGTTGCTAGTTTTGAGCTTGAACTGTCAAGTTGTCAGAGCAAAAATCCAAAATTATATGATTCATATGCCTCTAATAGGTGAGGTAGCCAGCAACTTATGCTAACTTAGAGCAACTCCAAGAGAGTTGCTATTCCTAGTATGGAATCAGATTTAGACGTTTTGTGCTACAAAATAGACTCCAACAGATGTTGTATCTGGAGTTGTAAAATACCCAGCCGTCTATTCCGTGAATCTCGGTGGCCAAAGAAAGCCAGCGAGCGCCGCTTGCTATCTCGCTTTCCCGTGTGGCTTCGCACACATGCGGCCGGTTGCCGCGCTGTCCTGGCCGTTCCCCGTCGCGAGTCGCCGACTCGCCGGCTGCCCTTTCCGGCACTCCACACGCATGTTCCTCATCACGCTGCCCCGCCCCTCCGAGCTCCTCAAAAAATCACGCCGTGGCACTACGCAAGCTTGTCGCATCCGCCATCTGCAGGAGCTCTGCCCTGCGTTGTACGTACTCGTTCCCCATCCTTCCTAGTCAGAACGGCGCCAATCCCTTTTCCAACCGGCTACATTCGATTTTGATAGATTGGGCGACTCCTCCAAGTGCTAGCCAGGGCCGGATGCCAGGGCGTCAAATACGTAGCATGGCTGCTGCTGTAGCTTGGGTGCAATTAGCCAACGAGCCGAGCTACCACCGTGATGGTTGTGTCTAGGTGGCCAGTCATGGAGGAAGCAAAGGCCCGGTGACGTTCCGGCAGCGGACTACTGCACCATGGAGCCTCAAAAAAGATTGATGTGGTGAGCTATTTAGAAAGGCTGTTGCAGTTCACTTTCTTTTTGAGAGGTTTTCTATTTTACATAATGGCTAAATCAAAGAATTTGACATCTATTTTTAGCAGATCTCTTGGTGATGCTCTTATGACCTCTAACGTTAACGAATTCAACATGAAAACTGCGACTCAATAATAAGCTGATAGTGTACATGTATGAGGGCTACATACTTATGCATGTATCATGCTCCCTCATGTAAAGCAAGCCTCCACTGCAGCCGCACTCATAGCTTCCCCATGTGTTTTTGCATTTGCATTCTTTGCATTGACATGCAGTCTTTTCCTTGCATTCATCAATATCTGTCACAACATGTTTCACATCAGCATCGCAAGGGAAGTGCGAGAAGTCCAATGATATATGATATGGCAAAACAGCGAAAGGCAATTCTGAAGTGCATTACAGCAGAAGCAGGCAAGCACTTCTAGAAAGATTAATGAGCCTCAGGAAATGTCTCTTACCTTCACATTTGTGCTTACCATCACCCTTGAATCCATCTGGGCATTTGCAGCCATCATCCTGCATATTACAGACACCAGAACCAAAATATCAGATTTTATAAGCACTTTTTACTTGAAAAAAAACTGGACAGGATCCTACTGATAATATGGCAGTTTTAAGGACAGCAAAACCTCAACTGACACTTACAGTACAGGCAGAGTATGTCCGACCATTCTTGGTATCCTTCCAGCATCCTCCATTGTTAATTTCACATCGCCCAGATCCGGAAGCTAAAAAAAATCACATGTTATAATTCAGAAGATCTGTTAACATATAATAAAAGAAACTGCCAAAAGATGAATCTCCTGATGCCTTGTAGTGTACCTTCACAGTGAGTATAGCCATCACCAACAAATTTTACTCCTTTCACAACTGGACACTCGCAAACTCTTCCACGGAAGGTATCCTGTATGTAAACCAAACAAGTATTATATGCATAAGCTAAACAGAACGAATATTTGATAAACCAAATTTTCAATTTCAAGGGAAAAAACTAACACCGCAGGATGTACCTTGCATGCAGTGATGTTCGCAGCCTTATCTTGCCAACAACCGCCATTGTTCTCTAGACACTCATTTGTTTGTATATCTAAGGTTGAAATAGAATGAACATTAAGAGCATGCTACATGCAAATTACACTTGAAAGTATAAGCACATGTAACAACTGAATATTGAAAAATTAGGGAAACCAATGCACCAACCTTCACTCAAGCAAACAGCTGGCTCAGTGGTTTCCCTAAAACCAGCACAAAGTGCTTTAAGAACTGCTCCTTTGTCAAGCTTCCCTGAGAAACATAGATTAGGATAAGTTCATCTGGTGATCCCAGCAAACTCCTTATCGTAATTTACGGGATACATAGAATAGCACATACCTCTGTATTGTCTATTGTTGATTACCAGAGTTGGTAAGATGGTAACATCACCACGAGAGCCCTTGCCAATCTACACAAAGTGGGAGATGATGATGTGTTCAGATCAACAATAGGATGAACAGAAAAGATCACGCATTCACATTGAAGTACTACTTACCTGTGCATCCTGTTCAGCTTTCAGAACAGGGTTTTCCTCATCAGCATCTGGATCACCAATACACTTATCTATTGCTTTATGATCAATGCCTGTAAATTATAAACCAGTTTAGTATAAATACTGCAGATCTGCACCTCACCACAAACATTGGAAACCAGATGCAAATATAACATACCAAGCGACTTGATAACCCCTTCAGCACACTCCTTTGTGTACTTCTTTTCCTTCATTGGGCACCGAATCGCAAAATCAGTAACATAGTCCCACCATAACCAAGGCTTCTTGTGCTCCTTAGCAACCTTAAAGACACAAACTTGGCGCAAGTTCTGGACCACCACATCTTTGCCATCATATCCTTTGCTAAAATCCTGTTCCGGGTCAGGTGCACAGTATCTCCCATGATTGATGCACTGGGACTTGCACTGCTTGCTCAGAATGAAGGCCTCTGGGCAATACCAGGTGATGTAGTGAGGAGTGAACTCCGTATAGCCTTTCTTCTCAAGCACCTGCGCTGCTCCTTTGAAGCTCTTGACAAAATCAATCTGACTATCACACTTTGGGCCACATTCATCATTGCTGTTGGTCCAAAATTCATACTCAACACGCTCATCAGGATGAGGCAGGGCCTCCCTCCAATCCAAATTCACATTAACCATGTCACCTTTGTCAATTGCTTTCTTGAGCCTGTCCCCAAAGCTCTTGGTTATTAACGCCGAAGGAATAGTGATGTTCTCTAGATAATCCGTGTTGCCACTCTCCTCAGGGTTGTCCATTGTAATTAGAGGTTCGTCTTTGTCATCAGCGACAAGGATCGCCGCTGCTCCTGCTTTCTGTGCATTCCATGCCTTCTTTGCAAAGTAGCAATCTATAAACAACAACAAGCATTGTATTGTATTATTATATGCAAATCCATTGTCTATTTTGATGAACCCTAGTAGGATGCAACATCTGAGAACAGACAGGAAGGAGTGTTAAATAAATAGCAGGTTGGTTGAAAACAAAAACCAGTGGAGCACAATAGGACTGTCCAAAACCAAGACAGTGACAGTAAGCTAAGCTCTCAGGTTAAATTCCCTTTCTGCACACATCAAGGTCTTTGTACCAAATCAAGTCAACGGGTATTCAAAGCAATCACATGGAAAGATCTAACTTCACCGCATCTACCTGAAGACCACACGACTAATAAACATAAATTTGGGCACCTGTGGTCAAACCTTCAACTACACTCTATCTCTATGTCTCTATCCAATCCAACCGCCAGTCCACGCATGGATGACCTAACAGAGACCAACCGCCAGTCCGGCGGCCGGAAGGAGCAGGAGAAGCAATCGCTTCGTGCTACGGTGCTGAGATTCCGGTCACTCACCTCCCCTGTCGACGAGCAAGAAGGTGGGGAACGCCCCCGGCTTGGCCTTGTAGGAGATGTCGAAGTCGTCGAAGCTCTTGCAGGCCTTCCTGTTGGCCTTGGGGTAGGCGACGAAGCCGACCATGGTGCCGCCGTACTGGGGCACCCCGAAGTTGCCAATGGCGCACTCGTAGGTGCCCTTGAGGTCGTCGGGCGCCGTCACCTTGAGGCTGTTCTTCTCCACCACGAACCTCCCCTGGCAGCAGCCTAGCAGGAGCGCCGCGCACACCAGTAGCCACAACATCGCGCCGGCGGATCGGGACCCCATGCTCCGCCCGGGCTCTGCTCTGCGGTCCGCGAGCACCACCTGGGGATTGGATTGGAACTGGTGGTGCCTGCGGCTCGATCCGCGCAGGATTGATCAATCTCGCAGCCGTGCGGCCTCCGAAAACGGCGGAGGGGAGCGAAAAGATTGGATTTTTTTTACGGCCGGGGTAGGGCGAGCGAGAGAGTTCTACACTGCTCGGATTGAGGAGTTGGAGTGGGAGGGAGTTTGGTTTGGGGAGAGGAGAGGGGAGAGGTGGCGAAAGAGGCGTAAGGACGCGGTGTAGAAACCTCGTGGTGAACCAAAACCAAAAGCAGAAGAAACACGTGAGACCAAAGCCAGGCCAGCAAGTTACCATGTGGTTTCTTCACATTGAAGCAGCTTTAGACAAGTTCAAAACAAAAAAAGCAGCTTTAGACGAAGGGAAATAAACCCTGCTCGCTTGAGCTACTTTTTAGATATAAAACAATGTTTTTCTCTTACAACACTTTAGCATAAACATTAGTACAAGTTAAATTTTAGCATAAGACAAATTAACCAACGTGGCATGTGAGTGGAAAATTCTAGTCTAGGACTAAACTATAATCCCAGATGAAACTGCAATGTTTTAAAACACCATATATTATAGAAGCTAGATTTTAAAAGTTAGGATTAAAGGAGTAGGTTAAAACTTAGAGCAAGGTCAATAGTTGAGACAAGCTTGGGTCTACAAGACAAGCACCAAACAGCTAATCATACGATGTCTGTAGGTTCCTTGTCTCTATTTAAATTTCCAAGCAGTTATTATTCTTTAATCTGGCTATATTCTTTGGCTTTCAGTATTCGATTGGAGCAGGAAGCAAGACAATCAGCCTGTCCGTTTGTTGGTTTTAGCTATGGCTTATCAGACAGCTAACTATGTTTTTCTCTCAAACAAACCAGCACCAGCCGAGCTTATCAGCCCAGCGAATAGGCCGAATAATATGATGGATATTGAATGCTTAGTTGTTGTATTGGAGGGCGTATACCGCTGTGACAAGCTTTGATCATGTTCACTTGAGCTTATCAGTCATAATCAATCATATTTTTTCAGTTATAAAATAGTATTTTTCTCTCACAACAAATTAACTAACTGTAGCAATAATAAGCCCCGCCGAACATGCCTTTGTCTCGTGTGCCCTCTCTCCTCTACGTCACTGCTATTGCTGACATGCTCGGCGATTTGACAAGCTGTTGTACCTGCTCTTAGACGGTTGTTTGTAAAAGCTGAGATAAATTGTTTTTTAGTAAAGTTGCAAAATATTCTCATATTTTGAATTTTTATGCTATTATTATTATTGTAAAGATGAAGAGAAGGACTGTCTCGCTTACCAGACTGCACAAGACAAACTTCTTTAGATTTTAGTTATATAAGCTGGCTAAAAGCTAATATATTTGGAGCCCTAGTATATTCTCAAAACTAGCTTCCGCGGGTCCCTAAAACCCAAGCAAGCTTGTAATATTTGAGCATGCAGTTATTTTTCACGAATATTCTTGAGCACCTTTGCAAGCCAGAATTTTATCCACTTTTAATACTATTATGTTTAGATATAGATTAATACAAGTTTACAGGGAGTTTAGAAGGAAGAACTTATTGAGTCGCTTGTTTGTTTGGTGGGAATAAGAGTTTTGGTGGGATGAGGATGAGAATTCCAACGCCCCATTCGCTTGTCTTAAATTTGGCTTATTCGGCTTGTTTTTTCAGCCGGAACAGTGTTTTTCTCTCACAACAATTCAGCCGGAACAGTGTTTTTCAGCCAGTTTCAGCCAAAGTTCAGACCAGCGAACGGGGCCTAAGAAGAGGGTTGATAATAAGTGAATGATTGATTCATCCCAAAACATTTACTATTACATGGTATGGTGATTTTTTTTGCGAAGATATAATCTTGCACTCCGATACCCCTCGAACCAAACAAAGTATGGAAAATCCCGCTCTTAAGTTCCATCAAAGAGTTGCGACAAAAAGTCAACTCCTATGTAAATTCTCTCAAACTCCCCTTCCTAATTTTCGTTGCATTTCCCGTTGCTAGCCAAACGCCCAAACGTATCATTTTTTAGGATTAGGGGAATAAATAAAACCGATTTTTTTTTTTTGAGAAACAATAAAGCCGATTATTAAACACCGAGGTCTGGTGGGCACATTTTGGGCCTTTTCTCCAATTGATATTGGGCCGACGACTTGTCAGATTCGTTCCCATCCTTCCAAGTTCACTACCAGGCCAGGTTAGTAGGCCCAAATCATGCATGCATGTTGGGTCGATCGTACCTGAGGTGACGTTTGGTTCCATCGCCGGCAACGTGAATGGAACCCATACGGGAGGCCAACTCAAAGGGAATTAATTATTTCCTTCTTTGTTTGGTTGGCCATCGGAAGTTGCAGGTAGCGAACGTGATCGGCTGATCGGGCGTGAATGGATCGCTGAAGCCTCGGATCTATTCCCGGAGCAATCGTTTGCATCGTGCATGTAACAAACATAAACCAACGTAACCTGGTAACGCAGTAAACAGATACGGGCCTAAAAAGGATGAACCAAACAACACCATGTTCCTATGTTTGTATTCATAATAATTTGCTTCTCTTATGAACCGTACTATTTTAGCGAACGAACAGTGTTTTTCTCTCACAACAAATCAACGAACAGTACTTTCAGCGGGCTTTTCAGCAAAGTGAATAGGCCACTGGGCCAGTAGGCTTATAATCTTTAAAATATTGAACCGATAAATTTTAAGATCGGTGAAGAAGTCATTGTGATCTTTTCGCTATTGTTAGACATGTCAGCTAGATCTTGTAAAGCTTTTTGCCGTGCTGAATCGATTAGACAGAGCAGAGTTCTTGCCTCTTATTTAAAAAGAGAAAAAGCTAGCCAGTGGCTGCACAGTCTCTGGGCCCTTTGAATCGATCGTAGAGCAGAGTGCTTTCACAAGAGAAAAGTGATCTAGACTGGTCAAGCCATGATCGGAGACTCGAGTGCAGCACAGGACTCCGTTCTCTTCATCTAGAGCCTGCTGTCTAGATACCTGCCGGCCGGTAAAGAGGGGAGAAAAAAGGCCTGCAGGTATATGCACGTATGCACAAGAATTTATCAGGACTTGAGTACTGCAAATGGGGCTTTAATTAATACTCTCTCCATCCCAAATGAAAAAAAAACAATCTAGCTACATTGTTAAGTTAATCCGATCCATCTTCAGTTCGACTATTTCTCCGTAAAAATAATTAATATTTAGAATATCAAATATGCAAGTTTTCATAATTTTGGATATAAAAATAATTAATATAAAAAAATCAATCTAACATGCAAATTTTCATAATTTTGACGTCATGGAGTGACGCTTTGTTTTGACATCAGTTGCTGTTCGTCAGCATGCTTATATGGAGTAGTACTACGTGCTTAATTGCGGTCAGAGTTGCAACTCCAACCATGCGCACAGGCAACGAACAACGCGGATCCTCCATAGATTTCCTCTTTTATCGTTTCTCTCTGTCTTTCTATATATAATTACTACTTCATACATCCCAAATTATAAGACGGTTAACTTTTTTTTTACCCCAAATTTAACCACTCGTCTTATTAAAAAAATTTATACAAATTTAAGTTAATCTTGAAGAACTTTTATTAATAAAGTAAGCCACGGCAAAAGAAGTGATATTTTGCATATTTTTTTAAAATAGACAAGTGGTCAAACTTGATGTCAAAAAAAAATAAACGTCTTATAATTTGGGACGAAGTAAGTACTAGCCTACGCTAGTGTAATCAGTCAGCACGTACGTGCTGTTTTCTACACGCGATGCACGTACATGACTACTACTCCAATGATTTTCTATTACCCGCGCAATCGCTTTCCACAAGAACTTCATACATCGTTAACTTTTTACAATATAGTAGCGTATTTGTACGTGTTTGCACATGGGCAGCTGCCTATATCACGTCAATTTGCTGACGTGCGGTCTGTCTATATGGTAGTGGCCTTCGTGCTTGTATGTTCTTTTTTCCCATCTATATCGTCATACTGGCCAGGTATTTTTTTTCCATTTCACTTTCAATTTTCATTTTTGTATTGTTCAACAATGTTTCATCCAACAGCTCTCTTCCTTTAATTTCTTCCTCGGACTTTTCTACGTATATAACTTTTTGCTAAGAACCAGATATACATTATGGCTCTTGAAAAACTAAAACGACTTAAAATTTGGAATAGAAGAGCACATGCATGCTAATATAACTCATTCGATTGAGTTTCTCGATCCCAACCTTTCGCTACCGGTCATCCTCCCTGATATTGGGATTTCTAATAATCGGTGGATCCTAGACTACTGCCCTTAATAACCACAAATCCAATCCACGACCACACCGACATTGTTCCACCAATCATCCCATGGAACCCAACACCCCCCTAGCCTCTCCAAAATTCTCAAATCTCGAACTGAAGAGAAATAACAAAGGTAAGGGTGTGAATGTCCAAAATCCTAGGTGAAGGGTCATGAATATCACAAAAAATGGAGAGCAATTTGAAGGTCATGAATCTCTCTACTAAAACTTTAGGGATTCCCCCAATGTCATTGCCTTTGCTAAGGACCATAACATTGCTACAACTAGGCTGACTTTACCATCCATGGAGAGGTACAATCAGTTACAACTTGGGATGTACCAAGTAAAATTTGGTACCTAGATACCAAATCTTAAGCTGCAATTAGGGTATCTCCATGGTTCTAAATAGCTTACTATTGCTCCACTTTAACATGCTATAGCTCCACTATAGCATTTTCAGAGGTATACCGCTATGATATTGTCAATTGTTGTGCTACTGTAGCTATGGCCTTAGGTTCGTTAAACGCCGTTATTTGGTTTGGACACAAATTTTTTTAGCTCTGATAATCCTTACTGAGGCAAATATTCATTTTTTTTCTCAAGATGAGTATAATCTATGTCTCTCTGTTATGTTTTTTTACTAAATAAAATGATGTAATGAACATTGAATAATTCTTAAGTTGTTTTCCGTTGAATGTTGTGAATATGAATGTTAATTACAATCATGATTAAACTGATTAATTGAATAGCTATGAAGTAACGGCGTGGCTAGCGCCCGGATGTCCGAACAAACGCGCGTGTCCGGACGCCCATGCAGCCTGCCCCATCCGCCTTCGCCCTGCCCCATGAGTGCACTCCACCCCATCTCTACGCCCGCCAGTCCTTCCCCTGACCCCGTCCTCTCTCTCCGATGACTCTCCACGCGGGCGACACTTGGGAGAGCCAGGATGAGCGGCTAAGGACGATCACGCCCCTAGCGCGCCCCGACCCACAACACCCCATCCACCATCCCCCAACGCCCTCGTCTGTCGCCCCCCGGGCATCACGTGCCCCGTCCGCACGGCCCCCGACTCACCCCACGGCTAAACAACGTAAAACACTTTGCAACATGAATGTAACATAAGACTGAAAACAGATGAAACATGTGGAACATGCACTTGTAATATGTGTGTGAAACACATCAAACATCCAAATAAAACACTTGCAACTTGCAACATGAAACTACTTGCTGCAACATAAGACTGAAACAGCTGAAACAATTGGAACATACTGTTACAAAATATGTGTGAAACATAGGCAACATCTAGATAAAAAGTGATTGCAACATATGCAACATGTGCAGCATCCACCGATCTACTTCTGCTATATCAAGATGAAACAATTACAACATACACCTAAAACATCTGAAACACTTGAAACATATATATGCAACATAGGGGAGGGAAGGTCGAGCCAGTCGATTCTAGCAGTTGGGGTGGGAGCTGGCGGCGAGCCATGGCGCGTGAGCACCACCAGCATCGGTCATGCTTGTGGGTGCCCTTGGCTTGTATGGGGAAGACCTGAGGTGCCACGACACGTACGCCCCAGCGGCCATGGCGGGGTTAGCAGCTGTCGCACCCGGTTTTAAGAACAAAATTAGATACACACCATATGTGAGCCTAGAAAGTCAAATCTCACATATAGCTATAAATAAGAGTAATATCAATAGAGAATGCTCAATATATAACGTACTTAGTATAAAGGTATAACCTTAGACAGCAAACAACAGAAAGACAACTCCAACCTTTGGGTGAAGACTCCAATTTCACAGGGACAACTGACTGGTTGATCACAAGCCTAATTCCTCTAAACTCTAGCAATCTGGTACCTATCTGAGATTTTTCCAAAGATTTAAAAAGTAAAGCAAGCGTAAGTACATTTGGTACTCAACAAAAATAATATGGGTTTCATGAGGCTCAAAAGGCTGACACTGGTTTAACTGCGATTAGCTTTTAATGAGTCATCTTTTAGCAATTGGGTGGCAACAAGTTTATCCACAAGCCCATATAAACACATGATCAGATAAATATGAATAATGAATAGCATAAACAGTAATCATTAGTGAGCATCTTCATCATCCGTATCATCAGTGTTCATCATCTATTCCGTAAGGGTTCCAAGTCCGCTCGCGACCGTGAGCACGGCTGATATACCAGTTTTACACTCTACAGAGGTTATACACTTTCACTGTGAGTCGTGATTTACCCTTTCGCCCGAGGTAGCTAATCTCTTGACCCACTTCCAAGGAAGGTCGGCAGGGTTCACTATGAAGCCTTTCAAAGGTTCTTCTAACAAGTTAGGGCCATTAGATTCACTCGGCAAATAGATGTAGAGCCCCCCTTCCTGATGGTACAATGACGCGCAGCCTATATACAAGGGGACAGAGGTCGCACTATACCCGATTCGTCAAGCCATTCTTATGCCAATAAAGGTAACCACTAACAAGCTAGAAAAGGTCCTCATACTGAGCTAAAGCCGGAGCCATGTAGCCCTCAGAGCTATACTGTAAGTCCCGGATGATCACTTACAGATAAGTCCTTAGAGAGAGGAATCTAGAGCACCATAAAATAGCCCAATGCTCTAGCCCCTTTGTTCCATGTTGCTAAAAATCATCTTTAAGTGTTTATTGCATATTCTATTAGTCAAGTTACAAGATCATGGTTGTAGTTGAGCACTAGCAAAACTACCCAATGGAATAACCCAATGGTGTCGAGGAATCCAGGATATCAATTAGCTAGGAAAATTACTACGGTTGCCAAGGTAGACACATGCAACATGAATTAAATGATTAAAGGTGTATAGGACAACAAGGAAGATCCCATACTATACTTGCCTTAAACTCAGATCCTTCTTCTATTGAATTGTAACCTCCAAAAGACTTCTTCTGGATCACCAACTTCTTTTATATCACCAACGCAAAGCTCATCGACTGGACATGATCATAAAGCACCATACAAGCATCCATGCAATCATATACGAAGTAAACAATAAAACTAAATTAGAACAGTACACGAGACAATAAAATCAAGATGAAAAGTTTGTAAAACGAATCTGCGTCTTGCTACAAACACATAGACGCGAAAAACACTCTGATCGGAGCTATAACGAAGAAGTTATAAATTAAACAAGATTTCCTTTAAAATAATAGATTAAATCTAACCTCGAATTTCAAAAGTTGAAATTATATTTAACAGTAAGATAAACATGTAGATTACTCCATTACGAATCTAATGCAACTTGAATGGGTCAAATCGGAGTTAAAACAGAGAAACTACGCATAAAATAAGATCAGTGGCAATTCTGTAAATATTTGGAATCAATTTCGTATTAAAAATAATTAAAAACCGAATTAAAAATGCCTAATGGACCTGGCCTCATTTTTGGAAAAACACAAGGGCCAAAACAGATAAATTAAGGGCATATTTTGAATGATTTCTGAAAGGCAGTGGACGGTGAGTTAATTTCATAGAAACTCAGGGTCTCCTTAGCAAAGTTACCCGTCGAAGAGGTATCTTCTAATTTAGGCCGTTGATCTCAGATCGGGCGATGCAGATCAAATGGGGGAACGGTGGTCACCGGAGCTGGAGCGGCGCTGTGCGTGGCGGCGCCATGGCCGGGGAGCTCGGCTCCTCGTCGGAGTTCATAGGGACGGCCCTAGTGGCCACGGGAGAGCAAACCAGAAGCACGGGGAGAGAGAGAGAGAGATGCCGAACTCGACTAGACAGCTTACCGAGGCGCGGAGCGGACAGAGGCGGGGCGCGGCTCGGCGGGGCGACGTCGGATGGTGGCGCTAGGGTTTGTTGGCTTCTTGGCTGCGGCTCCGAGGCTAGGGATGGAAGCGGCACGGTGCGGGGCGCCCGGTATTTATGGCCAGGAGCATCTTGGGAAGCACGGCAAAGGGAGGAGGCATGGCGGTGGCGGAGTCGGAGGCGGCGCGGTGGAGTCCGCGCGTACATGTCATGGGAGGAAGAAGGTGGCTACGACATGCAGGGTCCACTTGCCAGCCAGAGAGAAGAGACGGGGGAGAGGAGGCGCGGTGATGCGGCTTGGCTGGGCTGGCCCAGGAAGGGCTGCGCGGGAGAGGGAAGGAGATGGGCTGCGCGCAGGAGAGGAGGAGCTGGGCCGAGTGGCTTGCTGGGCCGGCTGGGCCAGAAGAGAGGGAGATGAGTTTTTCCTTTTCTTTTTTTTCTGAATTCTATTTTCAAACCAATTTTCAAAAACATTTTAAATAAATTTGAATTTTGGATCAAACCACTCATCACAATAAACAAAATGCAATAGCATGAATGCACAAAAATGTTGCTAAACCTTATATTTGATTTTAAATTTTAAATAAGTTATCATTTTTCTAAATTTAAATGCTCACAAAATGCATAATTAAATCAAATTCACCTATTTTAAAATCATGCAAATTTTAGGGTGTTACATGAATGCCGCCTAACGGCGATAGGCGGGCGACGGCGAGCGCGGAGCGAAGCGCGCAGGACTAGGACGCAGTGAGCGCGCGAGGAGCGATGGCATCTTGCGCGCGACCGCAATGGGGGAAGGGCATGGCGCGGCAGCCCGACAAGCGCGCGGTGGGGGAAGGGAGCGGACGGATGAGTGGCCACGCCGGTTCAGGTGCCGGGTGGATAAGCATATGAGGGAGTGATGATTTTTGTTTTTTGTTACTGAAATGAAAGAGATGAGGCCCGCTCCTGCAAGCTGTGTCCAGACGGGAGTCACGGACGCACGCCCATGTTGGATCATTGACGATGAAGTAATGAACCTAGAGATATGTTATCATAGAGGTATGGACTTGTATTTGAGTATTGGTGTCGTTGTAATATTGTTAGTTCTGTGTTTATTTGCATAATTAATTGAGAATTTTTATGTTTTTCTATATAAAAACTGCTAAATAAGTACTCACCGCGATATCCGACTATAGCTTTGTATGGATTTTGAAGGAGGCCACGACTAAATGGCTTAACTCGCCACTTGAAACCTTAGGCATATCTCTCCAAGGACCATAATAAAGTGCTTAAACAGTTAGGCACCTGCAAACCAAAACATAAGGTGCTGGACATTATATATCAAATGATCGTTTGTTTTACATCTCATGCACTCTTATTTTACTGGATTTCTTGTTTCTCCCTACAGAAAACTGTATTATTGGCACTACTGCCCTAAAAATGTTAAAAAAAGGAAGATCAAACTATACTTCTACTACCCTCATAATCTTGTTAATTAGGTTTCAGATCCAGATAGTACTAGTAGTCCATGAAGAGGAAACGCTCGAGATCATGGAGAGGGTCATCTTCAGCCGCCGCCATGTCCCCAGAATACCCATCCCAGCTGGTCTCGCCGGAGATGCACGAACCAGTAGCCGACGGGATCTCACTATCATCGTCTCTAAAAGCACCACAGAACTGCTGCTCCATACTTACAGGAAACAGCGGCTCTTGGCACTGTGGAATTTGTTCATGAGGAAAACAGGCAGAAGGCTGGAGGTCCACCAGAGGAGGCAGCAGCAGCGGCGGTGGTTCTTGCTTCATGTTCATGGCCGCCGCCACCGCAGCAGCATGCCCAGTTGGTTCTTGCTTCATGTTGCAGCAGCCTGCTAGCAATGCAGCGAGGTTGCTGCTGCTTCTGCCGGTGTTGGCTTTGGCACTAGTGTTGCAGGTGTGGTCGTTGTTGTAGGTGACGTGGAACATGGGCGGGTCGTCGCTAATGTTGTCCATCTGCTGGACGTGCTTGGTGGCCTGGCAGCCGGCGTCGTCCTTGTAGGTGCACCGGAAGTAGCTCCTCGTGAAGAACGTCCCGTTGATCTTCTTCTCGCCGTATTTCCTCCACTCGTAGCCGTCGTCGTAGGGCACGGCGGTTACCGTCGCCCATGACGACGAGGTCTTCTTCTTCCCTTCCATCGCTACTGATGATCTGCCGTGCAGCAGTTTCCATTGGAAGCGACAGTCAACGATCGAACTAGGAGGTTGAAAACTGCACATAAAATACATAACTGAAGTCGAAGGATCCAGCAGCGTGCACACACCTTCTTCTTCTTTTGGCGCCTCTTGCTTGCTGCCGTGCTGGGTACTATGGCGGCTTGGGAGTCAGCAGACGCCGGGCTGGGCGGCGAGAACTGATGAGGCTCAGCTTTGACGCTTGTTGGTGTCACAGGAGCAGCAGGCTGCTGCTGCTGCTTCATGACGGAAAGGGCGACGTTGAGTGTTCGCAGCGCCTTGCTGAGGAGGCTCTGCGCCAGCTGGGTCGTCGACGGCTGTGGCTGCTGCGAGTGGAGGAGGAGAGGAGGCTGCTGGAGCTTGATGAGCTCGTACACCTGCGCCACCTCCCTCACCGCAGCCTCACGGTCCGCCACGAAAGCCATCGACCGGACGGGACCTCTTCTTCTTCTTCCTGGATATGGATGGAGTGCGAGAGTGAATGTATGTATGTTAACTCATCCATGGCAGCTCTTGACGAGCTTATATATGCAGCTAACCTCTCCATGTGTGGGTGGTGGACCAGACCAGAGCCTACCAGAGCGCGTGGAATTCGATTGCAATCCATGGATACATTGGTCGTCGAGCAGGTAGAAGGTGAGCTCACTGAAGTATGGTTCAGACGGTGGATTGTGGGAGCCTCCAGCAGGGCACGCACTAATAGTCCAAGAAGATGCCCGGAAGTAAACATCTCTGAAAGACTGAAACTGAAATACTACTCCTAAACTTTAACACTTCTATTCCATCAGCAGTGGTACTCTTTCCGCCCCGAAAAAGAATACAATTCTCGCATATCCAAAAGAAGTTATTAGCACACAACACAAAAATGCATGTACCCGTACTCTTTTTTATATATGTATTCTCATATGTGCTGATTAGACAAAAACAAATAATTGCACCTATAAATTCTATACTTAATAAGCTAGAGTTACATTCTTTTTGAGAAGACACATGCATAACTGTTAGAATTATATTCTTTCTCGAATGTGAGAGGTAGTATTTTCTATGTGAGTGGTAGAATTGCATTCTTTCTCGAACTGAGTATATTTGCTCCACGTATGCACAGCAAGTTCAGTTCATAACCAAAGGTACGGTGTCCCGGCCGGTCCTCGTCAGCGTTCGACGACGCGTACCGTGTGCATGCGCAGTCAGTCAACAAGTGGATCGATCGGCTGATCCGAGCAGCAAGCCCACACACTTCCCCAAGTTTGAGCAGCAGAAACGAACTAACGGTCGTTATTGCAACTAATACGGCCAACGCCTGCGCACGCATGCTGACAAGCAGAGAGCAATGCAATCAGAGTCAGGGAGTGTTTGACACGGCTTCACCCGAGGGGCTCTTTTAGAGGAGTTGGAGCTGTTTTGGAGGAGCCACTCCAAAATGGCTCCGGCTCCTCTGTTTTTTCAGAAAAACAGCTTCTCAAGAAGAACAGAGCTGGAGCCAGAGAGGAGTCCTGCCAAACATGCCTTCAGTACTGGATTCAGGGGTTAAAGTTTAGCCGTGTCATATCAGATGTTCGGATGCTAATTAGGAGGACTAAACATGAGCTAATTATAAAACTAATTGTACAGGAGTAGACTAATTAGAGAGACAAATTTATTAAGCCTAATTAATGTATAATTAGCAAATGCTTACTGTAGCACCATATTGTCAAATCATGGACTAATTAGACTTAATAGATTCGTCTCACAAATTAACCTCAATCTGTGTAATTTTTAATTAGCCTATATTTAATACTCCTAATTGGTATCATAAAGATTCGATGTGACAGGGTTAAACTTTTGCTCAAAAGAAACAAACAGTCATATTCACTATTCAGGTTACACAACAAAGACATGCTGCAGCAACCATGGCTATACGAGTAGTGTATCTCATACATACCTGGCTAGCTAAAGATTCACTACCGGATACAGGAGGTTGGGGCACTCGGCAAAGCCAAAAAACACTCGGTAAAGGGTTTGCCGAGTGTTATACTCGGCAAATTACACTCGGCAAACCCTGTATCGGCAAACTTTTTTTCAAAAAAAAAAAGACACGCCGACACCACGCCCGCACCACCAGCACCGCCGCCACCATCCACGCTACCGCCACCACGCCGGGGAAGAAGGGAGGGCTCCACCACGCCGCACCACCACCATCCACGCCGCCGCCACCACGCCAGGGAAGAAGGGAGGGCCCCACCACGCCGCACCACCACCATCCACGCCGCCGCCAACACGCCGAGGAAGAAGGGAGGGCCCCACCACGCCGCACCACCACCACGCCGCGCCACCACGCCCAGGCCGCCGCAACAGCCACGCCCCCCACCACCACCACGCCCGTCGTCGCTGGATCTGGAGAGGGAGGGCCTGGAGGGGGGCGGCGCCGCCGGATCCGGGAGAGGGAGGAGTGGGGGGCGGGGCCACGTTGGAGAGGGAGGAGGGGCGCCAGATCCGGGAGAGGGGAGGAGAGGGGGGGCGCTGGATCCGGGAGAGGGAGGAGGAGGGGGGGCGCGGAGAGGGAGGAGGGGGGCGCCGGGATCCAGGAGAGGGAGGAGGAGGGGCCACGCCGAGAGTGAGGGAGGGGAGGGGCCGCGCCGGATCTGGGAGAGGGAGGAGGAGGGGGGCGCGCCGGAGAGGGAGGAGGAGGGAGAGGGGAGCTGGGAGGGGAGGGAGGGAGGGAGGGGCGTGCGGCCTGCGGGGTGACGGAGGGGGCGGTGTGCGAGGCAGTGCGGCTTTTATTTTCAGGAATTTTTTTTGCCGAGTGTTGTAGATCTAGCACTCGGCAAAGTTTTTTTTTATTTTTTTCTTCTCCTTTTTTTTAGAAAAAAGATTTTATATTTCTTTGCCGAGTGTTGTAGATCTAGACTAAGCAAAGGTTTTTTTTTATTTTTTTTCTTCTCCTTCTTTTCAAAAAAAAAGATTTTATTTATTTGCCGAGTGTTTTTTTTGACACTCGGCAAACCCGCTCTTTGCTGAGTGTTTTTTTACACTCGGCAAACCCCTATTTTGTTGAGTGTTTTTTTTTGTCGAGTGTTTTTAGCGTAGCACTTGGCAAATCACTTATTCGCCGAGTGGCCGAGGGAATACATTCGGTAAACATAAAAACACTCGGCAAATTTGAGGATTCCGGTAGTGATTGCGACTAACCAAAACGTGTTACACGTAACACAGCTTTAACAAATATTGTCTGATCGACCAGGTTGGAATGTAATGAAACGTCGTGCTTGTAATAAAGAAGTAGAGTGATGATTGGTTCGTGCCGTCCATGAAATAATACTACCAACTTGCTCCGTATCTTATTTCAATAATTAACTGCAATACGTATGGGAGGAGTATAGACTACTGCAAGCAACTAGTTCTGTCACGTGTCACTATAGTTGTAGTTGGGCTCTTAGACCTCTATTTTTTTTTACGAATCATGGTACAATGTAGACACTTATTCACTATAATTGTAGTTGGACTTTTAATCTTTTAGACCTCTTTTTTTACGAATCATGGTACAACAGACACTTATACATATACACACATTCACCTCTTTGCATGCGCACACATACACTCCGTACCACTATGAGCACCGAGAGACTAAAATTGACCTAGTAGATTTATAGATTGGCGAAGCCACCATAAGTGAGTTGGGCTCTTAGACCTTTTTTTTTACGAATCACAATACAACGTGTAGACACTCGTACATGTACACACATTCACCCCTATTAATGCAACACTCACACAGATGGTACTCCTAGACACTCGTACATGTACACACATTCACCCCTATTAATGCAACACTCACACAGATGGTACTCCTATAAGTACCAAAACATTGAGGCTGAGCTGACAGATTTAGAGATTGCATTGGTGAAGTCACCGTAGGCGCATTGTCGTTGATGGGCATGTCGTCTACTATTGAAAGAAAAAGCTGTCAAATCTAAAAAAAAATGGAAGCATCCCTGCCAAGTCGAGGACTTGAGTCCAGGTAGACAGGCTCCACCATAAGAAATCCAACCAGAGGAACAATGCTGACAGAAACATACTGCACACAAAACATTGAGCACCTCGTGTGTGATGAACTAGAAGACCCTTTGTCCAGTCTAGCCGTAATAGTTAGAGTTTAGATTTAATAAATTGTGCCACATGTCACTGCTACAAAAATAATTTTACTATGCAGTGCCCAAACATTAACCGAGGTAGTCATAAAATTTGACCGCCTCGTAAAATGGCTGAGGATTTTCGGAGGTGGTTCTTTTCATTTACAGAGGGGGTCAAGTTTGCTCGCCACGTAAAATCGATTTACAGAGACGGTTAAAAAACAAATGCCTCCTAAAATCGATTTAGGGAGGTGGACATCTTAAGACAACCGCCTCAAAAAATCCTCCATTTTTGGAGGCAAATCCATTTTCGGAGGTGGACAACCATAAGGCCCACCTCTATTAATCATGGTCAGCCCACCTAGCCCATCTAGACCTAGTAATGGGCTCGTAGTATATATATACGCCGAGCACACATGTAACCCTATCTCTCTTCCTCTCCCTCTCCCTCTGGCGCCGCACTCCGTCTCTCTCTCCCTTAGGCGCCGCGCACTCTGTCTCTCTCCCTCAGGCGCCGTGCGCGCTCCCTCTCCCTCTCCTTCTACCTCTCCCTCTCCCTCTCCCTTAGCCGAGCACACCCTAGCACAGCCGAGCTCCTCTCCCTGTCTCGACGGCGCGCAGGGCGGCCTTCTCCGGGCGGTGCGCCTGGAGGCCAGGGCCCCCTCCTGGCGGTCGAAACCCTCCACCGACGGCGGGCTCGTGGTGGCATTCCACGGCGACAGCTCGTGGGTTGCGGGCACGCGACGGCCTTCCCCGGCGATGGATTCGACGCCACCACCTCAACCACTGTGGATGCGGCACCACCGCCACTTCCACATCGGTGGCCATGTGCATCGTCATCACCTCCGGCATCAGATCAAGAAGCAGCAACATCTCCTCCACGCAGATCCGGTGCAACACGTGGAGGATCCGGCGGTGGGCGATGATGGATGGCGGCGCCACCTCCTCCTTGGGCCAGATCCAGTCCTAGGCTACGGATCGAGGGCAGGCGCGTCCCCCGGCAGCTGATCTATGGCGGGCGCATCCCCGACGGCAGATCCAACAAGCGGCGGCGGCAATGATGTGTGGATGGGTTCAACGGGCCCGTCCATGGGTTTTCTTTTTTTTTTGTTTTTTATTTGATTAACCGAGGCAGGCATTTGAACCGCACGCCTCGGGAAAGATCGATTTACCGAGACCTTTGAACCGAGGCGGTTGTGATGCCCGCCTTGGTTAATCCATTTCGCCCACCTCCAAAAAAGTTTCTTTAGTAGTGTGTAATTACTGGATGACATCAACTTTGTTGATTCCTCACCGGATCTTGTTTCTTATAGAGAATT